TTTTTTTTTTTTTTTTTTTTTTTTTTTTTTTTTTTTTTTTGTTATTTGGGTAGGAAAGGGAAGAGAGAAAGCAAGGTTAGGTATGCAAGTACCCTATGGTGGAAATTGTGAGCTTTCAGATTACAAATTTTCATGCTAATTATTGTATGTCTCCAGACAGAATATCATCTAACAGTGCAATTATGGATGAGGGTCAAGGTTGTTTTAATGGCTGTGTTTTGGCCTGATGGTAGGTGCAATGGAGGACTGAGTTTATGGTTTAGAGTTGTGTGTCCTGCACCTGCATATGGAGATATAGCCTTTCACAGTTGAATTAAAGCTCTTTATTTTTCCCACTTGTAGATAAAAGAAGTGGGAACAAACAAATCACTGAACAAGCACTGCTTAGGCATAATGAGCCCATCGTTCAGCTAACATGTCGGTTTAGGCATTCCATCTTTCATGACCAGTCTATAAATGAGGATTACACAAAAAAAAGTCAGTCTGTGTTAGGCAATATAAATGAAATAAAACTTGGCTTCTGCCCAGTTTATGAAAGGCACTTCATGCTAAAAGTAATTTAAGAAATATGTGTTTATATTATTAAGAATTCTTCTCTGAATCACATACTTTTTACCTCTACAAATGTATGATATAACTCAGTGCTATACCTGATATATATATTGTATATTGTCATGTGCACATGACATAACACAATATGATATGAAATGACATGACATATGATGTAACATGATATAACACAGTGAGTATAATATGACATGATACATGTCATATATACAAATACATACATGCACGTTCCCCCAACCATACAAAAAAAAAAATAATAATAATAATAAGAAGAAGATAAATAGACAGATAACTTAGGAAAGGTGAGTAATTAGATGGAACTTATTTCCAAAAAGCCTTTATCATAACTGACTAACATAAGTGGAGTTGTTTAGAATTTGAGTGTCAGTATTTGAATTTTTCATAATGAGAGTGCCCATTTATTCATCATTCAGAATCAGATGTAGTTAGTCATGCTCATGAGATAGATGACAGAAGTTAAGAATCAGGGTTAGAGATTGTTGGCAGTTACTTGGTTGATTACAAGTTAAAGTTTTGGAACAAAATTAAGAGGAAAAGAAAAAGAAGGGGGGGGAAATATATAGATAGATAGATAGATATATTAGTAGATATAGATATATGTGTATATATATAAATGTGTAATTATATATATATATATATATATATATATATATATATATATATATATATATATATATATATATATATATATATATATATATATATATATATATGTATGTATGTATATATATATATAAAAATGTGTAATATATATATGTGTGTGTGTGTGTGTGTGTGTGTGTGTGTGTGTGTGTGTGTGTGTGTGTGTGTGTGTGTGTGTGTGTGTGTGTGTGTGTGTGTGTGTGTGTGTGTGTGTGTGTGTGTGTGTGTGTGTGTGTGTGTGTGTGTGTGTGTGTGTGTGTGTGTGTGTGTGTGTGTGTGTGTGTGTGTGGATGGGTTGGTGGGTATTTGTAGGTGTGTGAGAGAGAGAATGAGAGAGAGTGAGATTGAGTGTTTTATATATATATATATATATATATATATATATATATATATATATATATATATATATATATATATCGATAGATAGATAGATAGATAGATAGATATTTATATATGAAGCTTTCTGCTTTGACTGTGTTATCAGAATTACATATATAAATATTTTTCTTATTTATTCAAGAGCAAAAGAGTTATACAATAACTCATTCACTAATGCTTTGGAAGGTGCTAGTGTGGTTTATTTTGTCAAGGGGCTTCTAAGTATGTTTTTTTTATATAACCATTCAATTGGTAATTGCAAGATGGGATTTCCTCACACATTAGTGTCCCATCCTAACAATGGTTAGAAGAATCTGTAGCTTTTGTGACAAGCTTTTCATGAGAGTGGAAGGAAGATTTTCATAGAGAGAGGAAGTGCTTTTAGCCTCATGCTTTGCTTACCCTAATCATGAACCTAACAATTTTGTAGTCAATGTATTGAGTGTACTAACATGCTATTTAATTTGTACTGTCACAGTATTTTTAGTAGTGTAGTGTTTCTATATGTGTGTATTATGCTTGATGATTATTATAAACAATATTTTGATTAAGAAAATTAACATACTAAAAGTTCTATTCCAGGGTTATTTTTCTGCATATGTAGAGCAGAAAAAATGGCAGTGATTTCTTTTATGATAATGCTTTCATGTGTCATTATGTTGAGATCTTACAATTCCATAATACTGTCCTCTTTTTGTTCTCATTTTCTGGAGTATTTTTTTTAGATTTTATTTCTTAAAAGATGAAGAGCTGTATTTTCTTTTTAAAGGACATGATGGTAGATGGTTTCATGGATGCAACAATGAGACAGGTAATCGTCCGTCATATCAAACACAATTTGATAGTTGCTTTTGTTAAAGGGGAAGGGGAAGGGGTAGGGGGTTTATTTCCT